TCTACTGATCCAGGGTAGTCTACAGATCCAGGGTAGTCTACTGATCCAGGGTAGTCTACTGATCCAGGGTAGTCTACTGATCCAGGGTAGTCTACTGATCCAGGGTAGTCTACTGATCCAGGGTAGTCTACTGACGTTGAAGCTAGGCAAGCAACCACTTCTGTCTCAGTTTTCTAAGTTGACTAAGGCCTCTATAATTCTCCCATTTGTCAGCTGACAGGTAAGAAAACTGAGAAAGGTAACTGCCAACTTAAAATAAGATTCTAATTTGTATCAGGTCCCTTGTAGGCGTTATGTGTCCATTTCAGTCTGGTTTTTGGATGTAGTTTTTCTGGCTTTCATGGTGGTTAATTTAACTGTCTGAGGGCATGCAGTACTTTTGTGCCTCATTGTAACCTATCAATCAAACAAGTCACATATGATAGTGTCCCACAAGATCGCATCCACCAGTGTCTAGTGCCATCATGATGTTGTCCTGCAGGTCTTTAACTCATGTTGTGGTCAGTCACAGAAGAAGAGAGCCATACCTGCATGCGCATCCACACAGGTGGATGGTGTGGATGTATGTACATGCATGTGTGCGGGGTGTGTGTGTGTGTGTCTGCGCACGCACGCGTGTGCGTGTAGAACCAAGACAGCCTGAGGCAGACCTGCGCAGTAAGACATCGTTAGCACAGGAAATGGTGATCCCATGTCTAAAGACTCTTTGGTCTCTGAAGACTTAGGGAGCAGCTAAGGAGGAAGCCGTGATGTGGTGACCTTGGCCCCATGTAGGCCTCGGCTCATATGTGTGTTTGTGCGTCTTAGTTTTTAGCGAAAAAGAAAGGAAAAAGTAGGACAAAATGAGCGGTGTGTAGCTCACGGGAAGACTGCTTGCGTGCACGCGGCCCTCAGTTCTATGCTCAGCACCACAATGAAAAATAAAGCACTTCTAGAGTAAGAATATCAAGGAAATTCTTTGCTCCTGTCTATAATATTTTTATGTGTTAACCCAGAAAGTTCAGTTTATGGAGCAGGGAAATTACAGTTTAGCATGGAAGAGAAAACATTTTAGTAGACATTGCGTAACCCAACGATACAGCGTTCGTAATGTCTACTTCCGTGGACAGTAATGTCCTTGCTTCTGCGTTCACTCACCATTCGCTCTTCCAGCCACTTGTAGCCCTGCAAGCTAGACCTGTCGGCCATACCTGAAGGCGTAGAGCTATCAGTTTTTATACCACCTTCATTAGTTCTTTTTACATTCAGCCTATTAAGGTTGAATATAAAATTATGGTAAGTCTTGGGGTTTCAGTGAATAGGACTTTCTCACACAGACAGTTGTTGGCGCAGATGTTACACCGCAGTTTCGCTGTGCTTTTCTGTATTATCATTGCTGTACAGTAATATGTTGTACAGCAATAGGCTACATCACGCAGTCCAGGTATGGAGCAGGCTACACAACTGAATTTGTGTAATGCATACTGTGATGTTTATAATCATCCATTGGTGTATTTCTTAGACTGTTTTCCCTATCAGTGGGTGACATGCGACTATTCCTCTCTAGAGCAGTCTCCCCATAAATGTCTGTTGTATGTAGCAGAGAGACATAATGTGCTTAAATGGTTGCCGGAGTGAGAAAAGCCTATATATTGTGCTTATCCTGAACTACAAAGCAGGACTTGGAATAATCCTTTAGGCTTACTGCAAAGGAGACCAACTGATGGACTATAAAGTTATTTTTTACTCTCCCTGAGAACATAAATCTATGCAAATGTTGAGTATATCCTGATCACTCCATTATACTTAGGTGGCACTGTACGTCTTTGTATTGCCAACACACAGGCTTTAAAAATTCTCCATTTTTCTGTCAAAAGGAAAAGAAATGGGATATTCTTTCTAAAATAAGTACTAGCTTTGGAGGGCAAAATGCGGTTCACTTACAAATAGGAGAATCCAGAGGGCACAAAGATAACTCTTGACTCAGGTTGAAAGGAAAAGTAGGTCAAACAAACCCTATACTAGGGTCCAGTGCATGAGAGATTGGCTTGTATTGGGTTACGAGTTGCTGAGTTCTTGTCAGGCTGAAACATAGCAGTGGAGTTGTCCCTCGAAGGTAGTAACAACTCACAGTGTGCACAGGAGCTGGAGGATCCTGCTAGAGGTGGGAACACAGCCCCTGGTTTACCCCTTCATACTTTCACAAATAAGGATTTCCCTTGTCTAAGTGCCATAAGATTGTTGGATTTCTGGAAAATGTACATCCTTGTGTCTAGAGTTAGTCAGTAAAGAGAAGACTTTAAGGGCTAATAAAGAGCAACTGCATTTCTATAGTCTCTTCAAGCCAGAGTAGCTGGTTCTACTATTTAAAGCATGGCTCAAGTGTAGGGTCCTGAGTCCAAACAGTGTAGGGTCCTGAGTCCAAACCCCAGTACACCAAAGTAATTAAAACTAATGACCAATGATAGGACTGAAGACCTTGATCAGTCGATAGCACTAGCCTAAGAAGCATGAGGCCCTGAGTTCAAACCCCAGAACTGCCGTAAGTAAATGAATAAATAAGGCTTAAAGAAATATTAGATTGAGACAAAAATAACTTTACCATCAATGTTTGCTATCTATGAAGTTCGGGCCTACACTCCTGAGATTTCACACATCAAGCCCAGTCATTTGCCCTGCATGCAGTATGGGGACAGGATAAAGAGCAGAAAGATGAAGCTTATTCTATAGCCTGGACAGCCATGGGGGGGCAGCAGTTCAGTTCATCTTCACTCACCCTCAGGGTACAGACGTGAACGATAGGTTTATCTAGACAAAGGGCTGGGAACGGCGTGGGAGAGGTTCGCCGTGTGCGTGGCGAGAGGCAGATCTGCAGACCAGCATCTCAGTGTGTGTTTGTTTGTTTGTGCAGGGGTGTTTGTTTGTGCAGGGGTTCTGGTGACTGTCCTGAGCAGGGACTGGCTGACGTTTCCTTCCTTCACGGCAGTTTTCTCCGTCTCTCCTTGTAAACATGCTATCAGTGAGTTCTATTATTTCTGGATTCCAAGGTGCTTATAAAATAGCTTCTCAGGGCATGGCTTAGAGTCATGAGGGTTACAACGTGGAGGAAAGGAGGTTGGTCTTCTCTGCTGGTTTTAGTTAATGTATGGGCTGAAGTAAGGGGTCGGTGCTTTTCTGGAAAAAAAAAAAGTGCCACTTTCATGACCAATGAGACAGTGGGGGTGGGGATTTGCTGAAGTTTTCTTGGGCTCCCTCACTTGGTCTTCTCCCCGGATGATGTTTGTAATGCAGGAAGAAATCAGAGGAGGGTTCTAGAAGCTGTCACTCATTAGATTTCCATCCCTGGAATGGAAACATGTAATCAGTTGACTACTGTTTTGGGGAAAATATGCCTTAGGTCACATTCCCCCATGTTCTTCGGGGAGAAAATTAATGCATTCGTAAATCCTAACAGCTAGGTGTCTCCCTTACCCATTTGGAGAAATGTCCCTGCATTTCTCCCTGCAAGATCCAGAGGAACCAAGTAAGGTGGAGGTGGTCAGATTCCGATCGGCCTTCTTCAGTGGGGAATGTGACAAAGATCAAGTAGGAAGTTCCTTCCGGCTGCTTGGAGCAGGCAGGCCCGAGAGTGTCTCCTTGGTCCCCGGTCCTCAACGTTAGCAGACAATTCCAACAGACCAAGGACCGTTTGGACACTCCCAGTGAAGCACAGCACCTACATTTTTGTGGACATTGTATTTGATATGAAATGACGAGTTTTTTCATTCCGTGCTTGTGAACGTCTTCATATGCAGGTGCCGCTTTACAAGTGCTGATTCATAATGGTTAAGGCGGTATCCACAAAGCCGGTGCTGTCATGAGACAGAGGAGAGAGGCTTACAGGGTCAGCGCTGGCTGAAGAAAAGGCCGCTGAAGCGAAAGGGCAGAGCGCCCTGAGAAAGGGTGTCAGGAAGGGCCCTGGACACGCCACGCCGTGTGTACTTCACGAGCCGCAGGAGGAAAAGCCTTGGGAGAACGGGAGAAGCTACCAGCTTTGTCTCTTGGTCACCCCAAATTTCCATCTTCTTGTACTCTGCAACAGCCAACAAATAAGAAATCAGATGGGTAGCCATCCCTACCTTTGATTCTAAGATGAAGACGTACCAAGGCGTTATCTAAAAACCAGAACGGACAACAGGAAGGTTGGGGGTGGAGGGGGGGTGTACTTCCAAAATGACATGCTGAATGGCAACTCCTTAAAGATTTTCTTAAAAAGAACAAATAACAGCAGTAATGAAACCCTCAAGATGCTGCTGTTGGAGATTTGGTAGCACGGTCTCTCCTCTCGGAGCTACGCCCAGACTATCTGCTTGCTTAATCGGCAGCCTTAAGCTCATCGTTTATAGAACATCTCTTAGGGCCCATATGGCCCACGGGCCCTTTAGGAGAGACCTTTATTATGCAATTGTTGTGCATCAATGCGTGTGTTAAGATGATCAGCTATTTTTAGGATGCGATTCTTTTACTGGTTTCACAGATATTTGCACTTTTCTACCTTGTGCTAGGTACATATTCTGCACTGAGAATTCACAGGTAAATCAGATTTCCCGAGATCAGAGTCATAAGAAGCAGTTAAAGTGGTTGAAGCAGATGAGTAGTGCTGTAAATCCTTATGAAATCTCATCATCCCCAAAAGTCAACTTTTCATTTAAAAGATGTGTTTAGCTGGGCACCAGTGGCTCACGCCTGTAATCCCAGGTACTCAGGAGACAGGCTTAGAGGCTTATGGTTCAAAGCCAGCCTAAACAGAAAAGTCTGAAAGACTCCATCTCCAATCAGCAAAATGCCAGACTGGAGTGTGACTTGAGTGATGGAGCACCAATGGGACAATCACGAGGCCTCTAAGTTCAAATCCTGGTACTGGCAACTAGAAGAAAAAAAAAGATGCTGTTAGCAAAGGCCTTAGAGTGACTTCACACCCATGTCTGCTTATGCTTTACAAGCAGCCCTGAGATCAGCCCCTCAGCAGCGCCTGGTCGTGGGGGGTATGCGCGGAAAGCCGTGCCCGGCCTGGGACCCCCAGCAGTAGCCCCTGCCCTTCCTGTGTACCACGAAGCCTGCCGGCTGCGCCCTGCCCCTCACCACGAGCGCTCCGCACCCTCGCGTGGAGATCTGTCCAGAGGGCTGTCCGCAGCTGCCTGGTGACCCACCTTACCTAGTGCTGCCAGCCAGGTTGTTTTGTCCTGGAATGTTCTTCGGTTAACGACCCGAGGAGAGGAGGTGGAGCCGAAGTGGCCAGCCAGACAGAAGCGAGCAGTAGTGTGGGTGAGCTCCATCTGCGCAGGAGAACCAAGCCTGGACACCCCTGGTCAGGGTCTGTCTCAGCACAGGCGTGGCAGAAGAGCCGCGGAGCTGGGCAGGTTGCTGGCCTGCGGGATGCCCTGGGTTTTAATTACTGCACTGCAGGTTGGGGCTGCCGACCGACCCCTCCAGCATTGCTGTGGGGGGTGTGGAGAATTTTACACTGATTTTAGCACTCGGACTGCTCTCTCTGGCCTGGTGCTCACTCTGTGGTTTAGTTACTGTTTACTGTTTGACTGCCTCTGTGAGGCTGGGAGCTATTTTTACCAACACCATCTCTATGGGCCTTAGAGACAAGCACACATAAACTCAGATCAATTGCTAAGGTCAGATGCTAGGTAAGAGATCCAGCTTGATGCCATAGTCAAGAGGAAAAACGTCAATGCAGACAGTCCTAGGTTTTAGGTTTGGGTCTCTTATGTCCAAATTGGGTGGCACTGGACAAGTTCCCTAACCCCTCTGCGCCTCTACTCCTGATCATACAAAGAGCCTGTTAGAGTCCACCTTCAGATGATTGAAAAGAAGATGTGAAACAATGCAGCCCGGTGGCCTTAATGACTGTTCAATGAGTATTTACTTATTAAAATTCTGCACCTCCTCCGATCTTTGATTTCCTCCTTCGTAAGGTGATTTACTGAACTGGAACTTAAATAATCTGGGGGTGGGGTATCAGCAGAGTGATAACAGAAGTACTGAGCGAATGATCTAATAATAGTCAAGAGATGGAAGCTGCACACTTTTTAAATAGCCAGAAGACCTGCCTTATTGTTTTGCGTATTCCATTCAAAGTCCTTCACCAAAGACCTCCGTTGGTGGTGGTGGGGGAAGTCTTTTAATCCAGTTCATAATCCAGTCAGTCAGCACATTCTTACCACACATCTTATGCTCCCAGCTTGGGTGAAAAAGCAGAAGTTTTCTGCTCTGATAGTAATTAACTGGGGTTTAAGGAAAACAAAGTCTATTCAGTCCATGATAGTGGATGCGCAGTAGGCGCCAGCCACCACGGTTGTGACTACAAGGTAGACCTAACAGCGCGAGGTAGAGCTCGGCCTTCCTGGGGTGCAGAGTAACCAGGAGTCATGGCAAAGGCGTCAGGGACATAGACCGCCGGGCTGGAGGCAGGCCTGGCCCTTCCTGCCAGGACAGCTGAGGCTCCAGCGGCTCTCTTCTGGGTCTCCTAGCTTGTGAGAGGGAGACAGTAGTAGAAACCTCACTGGGCCCAAGTGAAGCCCAGAGAAGAGATTGGACACGAGGCGTGATGCCTCAGAGTGGAGGTCAGTAACATGTTAGTTGTCTTCACGTGTAGGGTGCGCACGGAAAAACCATAGTGCAGAGGGTAGGTGATACCGCTGGAGGTCAGGACACCTTGCCTGGGCTTCGCAAAGGAAAACGGTACTTCTTCATAGAAGAATAATCTTGGGATGAGATGTAACGTGGTTTGAAGAGATAGTGCAGCTCCAGCATTACAGATACTGCTCAGGAACATGAAGGATGGACTCAGCAGGGAAGTTCCCAGATGCTCATTCAAGACGGCTGCATAGCCCGGGGTTGAGCTCAGTGGTAGGACTCTTTCCTCCTAACATGCGTGAGGTTCTGAGTTCATCTCTAGCACTGAAAAATAAGAAGGGTGGTTTTGCAGTAGTAGAGGGAAAAAAAATCAAGAATTTTCAGCTGGAAAGTGATAAAAGGCCAGAGCTCTACCTCCAGTAGCAGACCGAAGGGAGAACATTAGAAGCACTTAAAGACATAGGATAGTGATGTCCAAATGCAGCTACATAGCAGTTAGAAGTACCACTGGTAGCACTGGGAAGGCAGAATGCTTGCCTCGCATACATGAGGCCCTGGATTCGATTCCTCAGCACCACATAAGCAGGAAGAGCTGGAAATGGTGCTGAGGCTCAAGTGGTAGAGCACTTGCCTTAAGCTGAAGAGCTGAGGGACAGCGCCCAGGCCCAGAGTTCAGGCACCAGTAGACCTGGGGATACAGAAGGATGATAGACTGGAAAGGAAGCCTCCTTCCTGCATGGGACATACTGCCCTAAAGTGTTGATAAGTTCAGGGATAAAACCTAGTAACGGGGGTTGGGGCGCTGGAACCCTGGAGGGTCACGGGGTGGAGGAACGGCTCATGTAACCGCTCCTAAGCAGAGAAGCTGGAAGCTGAAGAGTGGGTAACACTGTCAGTGCAGCGAAGACTGGTCCTTGGGCTTTCCCTCTGTAGAGACGGCAGAAAGACCAGCGATGGAAGGCCTGTCAGAAAGCCCAGAGCTAGAACATCGCTGAAAAAGGAGCATTTTAGGGATCCTGCGGGACAGTAAGTCGACAGGAAGGGACGAAAGACAAAACTGGAGGTTCAAGGCAGAGCAGGCCCGGGGCACCTGCTAAGTGTATGAAGAGAGTCTGAGCCTGAGTGGGAGCAGGGAGCCTTTACGTGATCCGAAGACACTGTTCCTGGGGACTTGAGATTCACGGGGGGATGGCGTCAGCCCTGGAAAGCGGATTGCTCTCCATGCTGTACTGATGATCCTCCAGTTTAGCACTTGCCTATTTTTACTGTTTCTTTTCCTCTTAAAGCTGACAGGTGAGAGGTGACTGAGTGATATGCGCTGTGATTCCTATAAAAGAAACACAGTCTTGTTCCAGTGAAATCAGAGCTGAAGATACTGAGAAGTTACCGGGACAAAGTCTACTTTTTTTTTCTGTCTCATCCACCATTCTCCTTACTGGTCATGGGGGTAACTTGGAGGAACTGGAAATCTTGATGCAAGTGAGAACGTTGAATGAAAATAAGAGTGAACAAACAAGGGAGAAGGAAGATGGTGTCTGTGCCAGGAAAGGACACAGTATTTCACTTGCGCAGGGTAGAAATGATCAGGTCCGGATGTTCCTTTTGGACAGATTGGCCACATAGGCCTTGCGGTCCCTTGGGATGGCTAAGTAAGGAAGAGTAGAGAAAAGCTGGGGGTCAACTTACCCTCCGTTCCTGTTAGAATATTAATTCACCTCACCTTGCACAACCCTGTATACCCAGAATGTTCTAGCCGAGTGTCTCAGTGAGCATGCGTTGGTAAGGCCATCAGTAAGCATACGGTTGAGTTCACACAAAAAATAGTGTATATTAACTATACAAAGATGAACGTTGTTTCAAACAGAATCTAGATGAAACAAAGAAAAGAGGTATGAAAGTAGGAGGGGTTACTAGAGAAAGAGGACCGGACGCACCTCCGTTGCTCTTCCTGGTGCAGCGGGTACAGTGCTGCTGGTCAGCAGATGCTTCTGCATTAGCCCCGGGGCTACCTGTGTTACAAAGTGTGGATTCAAGTACAGGAACGCTTCAGAAGTCAAAGGCAGCTAGGGCAAGGTCAAGTGAAGGTCGTTCAGGCGGCTTGGGACGGAAGAATGGAATGTGACCGCGGGAGCCACGCATTCCATGGGTGACTTGGTCCAATTTTCCTTGTTTGTGAAAATTCCCACTTGTGTCCTGTTGGGGGTGTTCATGGTTTTGTTTGTTTTTTACTAGCGGAGTGTGTTGATGGGAGACGTGTAAAGCTGCGTCTCTTGGCTTTTGGATGAACACGTTGGGCACTTTGTGCGCCACTGTGCCTCCGTGACCCCGCCTGGTCTCCAGTGGTCGGAGTCATTGCGTGTTTCTCCTGTTTCCAGTGTCCTTAAGAAGATTGCATCATTCTTGTGTGTTTAGGATCTAGGGTGGAAGTCCATGTGGGAGCAGATTTCATTCTGTTTGGAGATTCCAGGGAACCCACATGGTAGGAGCAGAGAAATACTAGAGGCTTTTCTGTCTTATTTAAAACGAAGACCATGGATTGTGACTTGCTGTAAGCAAAGGATCCTGTTGCATTTACAACTAGGTCAGTTTAGTAACGGACAGCGGCGTGTCAGCGCTGTAGTTACACACAGCGCTCTCTCCTCTCGTCTCTTTAGATACCTTCAGCCTGTGGCTCACTGCCTTTCCCTGTACCCCTCCCTGTGTCTGGGAAGTAGCTCCCATCTCTGTGGACATCTGTGGCTACTGAATCTGTTCACATTCTCCAGTAGAAGGACTTTTTATTTTATAGGCACATCACAGATACAGTGTGAGGATGTGACCGTTTCTACTTTATTTCCTCCCACACCCCAGGATGAGCCCAGCATTTCAGGGACTAGCAGGCAGGCTGAAGAGATACGTGAGTTAATGCTAGGGCTGAAGTTCCAACTGATTCTCTTTGGTGACCTAATGGCCGCTGTTTTCAATGTCTGAAATCCAAAAATAGTGTCAGGAGGGGATGGACCGGCAGGGGCGTGTTTTCTCGCAGCCTCTGGAGGCTGGACAGAGTGCACGCAATGGTACGGTAGAAGCGTTCCTCCATTCTAGGACCATCAGCACGTGAAGTCGTGTTTGAATTCAAGGCTACCTGCCTATTGGCAGTTAGTCGCCCGCCAGCGTCACGGCTCCGGCTTCTTCTTTTGCTTTAGGTTATTTTCCTGTTTGTCTGGGATCTTCTTTGGACTCGGTATAAATAGTGTTGCTCTGAACGTGTATGCAGGCATCTGTCTATCCACTAATACACCCCAGAGTGCATCCTGACTCGTGGTAGGTGCTGTCCTGGAATACACTCGTGCTGACAAGCGACGCTCCTCCAGCCAGGCAGGCCCGGGCCTGGCTGTTGGGGGCAGCCGGCTGGTTCAGGTGGAGAGCCGGGCAGCGAGCGGCTGTGCCTGGCTGTTGGGGGCAGCCGGCTGGCTCAGGTGGAGAGCCGGGCAGGGAGAGGCCGGGCCTGGCTGTTGGGGGCAGCCGGCTGGCTCAGGTGGAGAGCCGGGCAGGGAGAGGCCGGGCCTGGCTGTTGGGGGCAGCCGGCTGGCTCAGGTGGAGAGCCGGGCAGGGAGAGGCCGGGCCTGGCTGTTGGGGGCAGCCGGCTGGCTCAGGTGGAGAGCCGGGCAGCGAGCGGCCGTGTCTGCAGGAGGGTGGTGGGTGCGGCCCTCACCACTCACGCGGTGTGTTTCCTGGCAGGATGACGAGGTGGTACTCCAGTGCATCGCAAACATCCACAAGGAGCAGAGGAAGTTCTGCCTGGCAGCCGAGGGACTCGGGAACCGCCTGTGCTTCTTGGAACCCACCTCTGAGGCCAAGGTAAGAGTTTCTGTCTAAAAGCTTCTGTTGTTCTCGAGGAAGAAGGCCGCTGGGCAGCGGCGATGGAGAATCAAGAGATGGAGGTGTCTTTCAGGTGATGTATCACCTGACCAGCAGTTGGATACCCTGAGTTAAAACCCCATACCATCAAAAAATGAAAGCAATACTAACAGTTAATTAGTTAATTATAGGGCTATTAAGTTAATAATAGTGTTAAGTACGGTATTGTTAACCCTTTTGACTTTTGAGCCTCATTTTTGTGAACTACAGGATAATTGTACATCAGCCCTGAGCTTATAAAACCTTGAGGTCTAACTTTAGAATCTTAGATTATAGGTTGATTCAGTTATAAAACTACCTAGTTCTATAAATGTGACTCTATTTATAATAGTCTAACCTAAAACAGGTTAGGAATAAAAACTACATATTGTTACCTTGTATGCTCCCCATATAAAAATAAGCTGTACCACTCACTAACGCATTCGAGATGATAAAGAGCCTTCCGGACTCCCACTTCACTAAACCATTGTTTCAGTTCTTCACTCCCTAAATCAGATGATGACTGAAGGATCTTTAAAAGGGAACCGCGCGTCATGGAGAATCTTATCGCTGTGTCGCAGCTTTGCTGTTCCAGTGTGTTTTTGCGTGTAACTCTATATTTTCAAAATTGAGCTCATAATAGATACTTGGACATTAAGATTTCAGTCTCTAATGTTTCATCGAGTTCCTTCTTGAAATCCTAGTTACTCAGGAGACTAAGATCTGAGGATCATGGTTCAAACCCAGCCCAGGCAGGAAAGTAAGACTCATCTCCCATAGACCACTAGAAAACCGGAAGTGGTGCTGTGGCTCAAGTGGTAGAGCGCTCACCTTGAGCTGAAGAGATGAGGGACAGCGCCCAGGCCCAGAGTTCAGGGACCATGACACACACACACACAAAGCAAATCCTTCTAATTCTCAGCCATCCAATTTCAGAACCAATTGTGCTGTTCTTAGGTTCTTGGAACCTACTGTAAGTTATGCAGTGAGGTGACATGGCTTACTTCAAGCCTGCCACTGAACACAAGGCACACACATCAAGTGGCATTCTGATTAGCCACCCCAGAGCTGATCAGTGACCCCCGGCATTCAAGAAAAATTGAGATGAACTCTAAGGAGAAGAATGATCTCAGAGAAAAGAAAGTTGCAATAGGGTATTCAAAAGATGTTAGCATTTGAGTTGTAAAGTAGGACAAGCAAGTAAGCAAGGAACAGACTAAAAAAGAGAGAGAGGAAAAGTGTAAAACCATCGACTCTCCCTAAAGATGGGGAGACTGTCTAAAAAAGAGAGAGAGAAAAAGTGTGAAATCATCGACTCTCCCTAAAGATGGGGAGACTGTCTAGCACTCAGCAGAGCACTTGTGACTGATTCCTGTGCGCTATGACCCAGGGCTTCTTGAAATTCTAGAAACTTCTGTCCTTGGCAATGGAAGCGTGAACATTCTGCCTCCTCTTCAGCTAAGCACAGGAAAATTTTATAGGAAAATTCAGAGCAGGACGCCCAGGGAGGAGATGTTCCTTTTGTATTTCTTGAGTAGCAGCATCTGGTTCACTTCATTTTAAAAATTAAAAACAATGTGTTCTTGGGCACCAGGAATTTAATGGTTTTCCTCAGGCTCTTCATCTGCCATATCTGTTCAGATGGCCACTTGGAGGGGTCATCTTTGGTGCAGGTAACATCTAGATTCCTAAGACTGTCATACACCACATCATCTTTTCTGCAGGCCGCAGGATAGGAACCACGGCTTGCCAGCTAGGCAGTGTCAGCCGGGCTCTTCTGTGGCTGACTTCTGAATCCTCCACTCCCAGAGAGAGCTCTATGATGGACAGGCGTGAGTTCATCATGGCCTCAAAGCCTCCTGTGCCAGAGGAGACAGGACGCCGTGCCCAGCCCCCGGGCAGCCCCACCTTGCCGGACAGCCCGGCTGCAAGTGTTCACGCTCAAGCAGCTGCCAGGAGAGGCTTCCTGTAAGCCATCGCTCCTCTTCCCAGTCCCCATGCAGGCTGCCCAGTTAGGGATCCCTTCATCCCACATAATGTTCGCTCCGAACATACTTCACATAATTACTCAGTTTCTCAAAGAACACAACTGTAGAGTTAACCGAGGGTCAGCTGATCATGCAGACAGAGAAAAGTCGTTCACTAATTTCATTGATGACACTTACTCAGCTAGCATGGTCTAATCAGATATGTCCAGAACTCACACCTTTCCAAGTCCCAATTTACACTCCTCTGTGACAACCTGTACATAATCTGTGATGGTGAAAAAGATTATGGGAGCTTTAGTTCATGGATTTCAGTGCTGAGTGAACTGGAATGGGTGGGGGTGAAATGGTTGCCGTAGGGAGGATTCTTGGAAAGTCAGTAGCAGGTCTAAAGTCCTCGGGCTCTCGTTGTCTAAGAGTGAAGTTCACATCCTTTTGGGGGAAAAGGCTGTCTTACTCATGGCTCATTTGATCTCATCTTGGCCAGTTCAAACTGAAAGGTCCAATTATAAACTCCATTTCTTAAATAGAGAAGGTTCAGGAGAAATCTTATGTTTTCACCTCCAGTTTTGAAAACGAAGGATAAAACAGAATGGAATGGAATATTATCACTTCTGAAGTTGGATAGGCTCTCATTACCTAAGATTAAACATGATTTAGTAGGAAAACATCATTATATAGATGACAGAACTTAAGATACTAGCCAGGCACAGATGGCTAATGCCTGTAATCCTAGTTACTCAGGAGGTTAAGATCTAAGGATTGTTGGTCGAAGCCAAGAACAGATTAGTCCCCATGAGACTCTTATCTCCAGTTAACTACTCAAAAATGGGATGTGGTGCTGTGGCTGAAGTGGTAGAGCACTTGAACACAAAGAGGCTCAGGGACAGCTCCCAGGCCCTGAGTTCAAAGCCCCATAACCAACAAAAAATAAAAATAAGGTAAGATACTATTTTCAGTTAAAAATAACATCATTTTATCATTATTTTCTGAGATTTCTTATTCTTAAGTAAAGTCTGTGAAAATTTGCAGACAGAGTCTCAGCAGGAAGTTGTACACTGTTCTTTGAATTTATGTATGTTATATTTTCAGTGAGCCCGAGATCCTATGAGAGTCTAAAGTATTATAATCATCATTTTAGAATATGAAGAGACTAGTACATTTATAATTTGATTTTTTTATTTATCAGGCATCTTATGCTATATTCTGAGCACTACAGTAAAAATTAATATTTAGTGTTTTACACTGACAAAGCAAACACTGTCCTCACAGACATAAAAGCCGTAAGAATTTCAAGTTGAGTCATCCTAAACTTAAATTGCTGCTCTCCACTGCACTTAGATACAGAGTATCAGAAACCAATTTACAAGGCCGAGGAGGCCATTTTGTTCTGTTCTGAGTAGCTCTACCTTAAGCATATCTGGGCACACCTCCCTCCTCTCTCCCACGAGATTTCTCCATCCTGTGATGCCTGACATTCTCAAGTTAGAAATACGGATTTTGCATAAATCAAAGAGGAACTCTTAAACTGTAAATGTGTGAGCAAACACATGAAGCAGTGTTAAGCTTACACAGCCAATTAGATGATCATGTATTTTATTCAAAGTAGGTTTACACAGGGGTCGAGGCAGATTACTAAAGGCCTCTCTACCTGGGCTGCTGGGATGGGAGAGGCGGAGCCCCACACCTGCACTGACACCAGTCTGTGAGTATGGAGGCCAAGGACCCCGGGCAGCTCTGCCAAGAGCGATGCTTGAGTCACAGTCTGCACTGGTCATTCTGGTTCACAGCTTACTAGCGCTGTGATCCTTGCCAGTGACGTGACCTTCCCCCCTTCCTCACCCTTCAGACTGCATCCATCTTACAAGTTTCATGGACATGGACTCACCATTGCAAAAGTTACAGCAGTACCTGACACATACAGCGTGCATTTAGTGTCTCTGTCACAGGATCAGACACACATGCGGGCCTCGGGAGCTGATGGTTGACTCAGGTTACCTGTGTACTGAACTGATTTGAATTGATTAAACTAGTTAAATATTTGAAGTGTGAATTTGAGAATCAAGAGGATAGTTGTGACTTTCAAAAGGGAAATTTGAAGGAGAGTCAGAAAATTAGGTAAAAACTAATAAGCGATGAGGGCGTGGTTATAAACAGCCAAATGATTCAGTGGGATATAAGTTCCAATGGTTTTCTTATTCACATTCTTTATTACTTCAATCCTTTGCAGTTTATTGGGGTTTATTTTAGGGCCATCAGATGGTCTGCCTTGAATGTTTCATGTGTAGTTGCAAAAGTATATCCTGTAGCAGTTGGATGTAGTGTCTTATGAATGCCAAGATAGCTCATCATAATGCTGAAATATTCTCTGTCCATACCAAAGTCTATCTGCTGCTCTGTCTCTTACTGAATGAAAAGCCGTTAACTATAGAGGCTTGTCTGTGCCTCCTTAGTTCTGATTTCTTCCATGTGTTTTAAAGATCTGTCATTAGGTTTAGGTATATGTGTATAGTTTCTTGTATGCTTTTATGATGAATTGACCTTTTTCTTATTATAAAATCACCATATTTATTCTTGCTTTCATAAGTATACTTGAACTTTAACAAAGCCATAAACATTTTTATGCTTACATTTCCTTCCCGCTGCTTTCACCATGGTCATATATTTATGTCTCTGGATTTAAGATGTCCTGCTTACAAACAACATGAAGTTGGTGCCGTCCCTGCTTCTTACAGTCCCTGTGTTTAATTGGAATCTTCTGTGTATTTACATTTAATGTAAATAGCATAAATTATTATTTATGAATGTAAATAGCATGAATTTGCATGTAAATGCTATTTGTTTTCTGTTGTCCTCTCTGAAATTTTTGCCTTATTTAGAAAGCAAAAGTATTATCTATCTGCCTTTTTTGGGACCAAAAAAAAAACATTTAAAAAAATCCCCCTCCTTTAGGTCTATAAATTTGCAAGTGAAAGT